CCTTTACGCGGTGAATGGTGGGATGACGTAAACTGTACGGTGTGTTCTTCAACATTTTGGTAATTATTTTTAACTATTCCCTTACGCGGTGAATGGTGGGATGACGTAAACTGTACGGTGTGTTCTTCTTGGGCATTGGTATTTTGAGTATATGTAAAGGTTTGTAGATTATTTTCAATTGAATTTATAATTCTATTGGCTGTTGACGTCTTATTATTTATTGACTCATCGACATATCCTTCGGCTGTTGTTGAAGATTTCCATCCGCTATGTCGTTTGCAACATTTTGGGATCTGGTAACTTTAAATATTCCTCTATTTGTTTAGGAACACCACCTATTTTGTTTAATCCTACCACCTGTTTCGTACATTTACCTTTTTGATAGTTAAGGAAAAATTGATTTATTTGCGGATCGCTAATTTGTTGCCGAATCTCTATAATATATTGTTTGCAGATTTTATAGAAATTTCTGGAAATTACGAAACATCTACATACTTTGGTTTTCATATCAGGGATTTTAACCAATAATATGGTACTTAAATCGTCGATATCACTAATTTGAATATTTTTTAATTCTTGTTTCCTACAAGCTCCACATATTCCAACAATTGCAATAACCTTAAAATAAAAGTAATATAAGTATACATTTATGTTATAGGTACCATTAAATAACATACCTTTGGTAATAAATATTGTACATCAGGAGCTTTATTTAAAAAAAGTTTTATCTGATCAGCATGTAAAATTTTAGATTTTTTGTTTTGAAAACCTTCTGACTGTTCTTTTAAGTAAGCTCACAATTTCGGATAATTATCAATGTTTTCATTATTTTTCAAACTTATAATACTTCTTAACATAGAATATATTGCCCATAATGAGGACGGTTTAAATTTTTTAGCGATTTCTCCAAAATAAACCAAGAGTAAGTTTTCAGAAAATGATTTTATATTATTTGTTGTACGCCAATCCATAAATTGCTGATATACCTTTTTTTCTACTCCCTTACTAGTAAATTGCCCATTACCTACTATTTGAATGCTAAGTAAATATGTCATTACAGTTACTAACACGTAATGACTAGCACGTAATAAAAAAAATTACGCTTCAGTTCCATGAAAATGTAATGTATCACATAAGCCTTGTAAGTCAGTTGCCATTATTTTGACAGAAGTAAATTTATAATACAAGCTGTCAATGTAAATGTACAAATAATTTAACTAGAAAAAAGTAAAATGAGTTCATCGGATAGTGAAGATGAATTTAGTAGCACACCACCCACTATTATTAAGTTAGCTGCGAACACTACCAATAACCTATTACCAGAAAAATCAAAAGGAAGATATAAAAAGGTATATTAGCAATTTATGAATTGGCGTACAACAAAAATATAAAATCATTTTCTGAAAACGTACTCTTGGCTTATTTTGGAGAAATCGCTAAAAAATTTAAACCGTCCTCATTATGGGCAATATATTCTATGTTAAGAAGTATTATAAGTTTGAAAAATAATGAAAACATTGATAATTATCCGAAATTGTGAGCTTACTTAAAAGGACAGTCAGAAGGTTTTAAAAACAAAAAATCTAAAATTTTACATGCTGATCAGATAAAACTTTTTTTAAATAAAGCTCCTGATGTACAATATTTATTAACAAAGGTATGTTATTTAATAGTACCTATAACATAAATGTATACTTATATTACTTTTATTTTAAGGTTATTGCAATTGTTGGAATATGTGGAGCTTGTAGAAAACAAGAATTAAAAAATATTAAAATTAGTGATATCGATGATTTAAGTACCATATTATTGGTTAAAATCCTTGATACGAAAACCAAAGTATGTAGATCTTTCGTAATTTCCGGAAATTTCAATAAAATCTGCAAACAATATATAGAGATTCGGCAACAAATTAGCGATCCGCAAATAAATCAATTTTTCCTTAACTATCAAAAAGGTAAATGTACGAAACAAGTGGTAAGATTAAACAAAATAGGTGGTGTTTCTAAACAAATAGCCGAATTTTTAAAGTTACCAGATCCCAAAATTTATACAGGTCACTGTTTAAGACGAACTTCTGCCACTCTTTTGGTTGATGCCGGTGGTGATCTAATGGCTCTTAAACGACATGGCGGATGGTAATCTTCAACAACAGCCGAAGGATATGTCGATGAGTCAATAAATAATAAGACGTCAACAGCCAATAGAATTATAAATTTAATTGAAAATAATCTACAAACCTTTACATATACTGAAAATACCAATGTCCAAGAAGAACACACTGTACAATTTCCGTCATCCCTCGATTCACCGCGTAAGGGAATAGTTAAAAATAATTTCCAAAATGTTGAAGAACACACCGTACAGTTTACGTCATTCCACCATTCACCGCGTAAGGGAATAGTTATAAATAATTGCCAAAATGTTACAATTAATTATTACAAATAAATGTATAATTTAAATTGTTCCAGAATTTTGTGAAATAAAGTTACTTGTTATGCTTTATATTTCTATAAATTAAAATAGTCGTAGAAAAAGTATAGTACACAACTAGAGTTGTAAGCTTATTACATGCTCATAAAATTACTGCGCTCGCCGCTACGCGGCTCGCATGTGATAAGCTCCTTACAACTCTCGTTATGTAATATACTATTATATCTTCCTTTTGATTTTTCTGGTAATAGGTTATTGGTAGTGTTCGCAGCTAACTGAATAATATTGGGTGGTGTGCTACTAAATTCATCTTCACTATCCGATGAACTCATTTTACTTTTTTCTATTTAAATTATTTGTACATTTACATTGACAGCTTGTATTATTAATTTAATTCTGTCAAAATAATGACAACTGACTTACAAGGCTTATGTGATACATTATATTTTCATGGAACTGAAGCGTAATTTTTTTTTATTACGTGCTAGTCATTACGTGTTAGTAACTGTATTGACATATTTACTTAGCATTCAAATAGTAGGTAATGGGCAATTTACTAGTAAGGGAGTAGAAAAAAAATTTATATAATATAATATTTTTTGTTCCTCTTGTTAACAAAGAATCTGTTTCACAAATTTTCACCTGTTTTGGATTATCTTTAAAAACTCTAAAAACGCTAAAACCCAATGTTTAGCTGGAAAATATATTTATAAAGTACAAAAGTAAATTGTTTTAGTATTTGTAGACAAAATGTAAAACGTAATCTTAATTTTTTCAAAGTGACTTCTTGTATTCGTGTAAACGCACCTTAATAAAGTTTATGCTGTTAAGTAACAACAAAGCGCAACTGAAATAAGAAGACACGTGTAAGTAAACTATAACAAAAAATGCGATACTCTTTGGTCAGAGGATTGGAGATCTTTCTATCATTTTAAATCTGTCGAGGTATTCAAAAATATATACAGTGTGGAAACCACTTATGGAATAAAATTCTTTATGTCATTATTTTAGAAAATTATAAAAAATGCCGAGACATGTCAAGTATACCATAGTCGATGTTGTTTTTTTTTTAATGAAACACCCTGTATATTTGCATACATACATTATTCAGTTTGTTGGAATCGGTTCATTAAGAGGATTTCAAAAATATGCAAATATACAGGGTGTTTCATTAAAAAAAAACAACACCGACTATGGCATACTTGCGTGAATCACCCTGTACATTTAAATTTATGTTTACATAACGCACAACTCAATTCAAAAGTTGACGTGTCTCGGCATTTTTTACAATTTTCTAAAATAATGACATAAAGAATTTTATTCCATAAGTGGTTTCCACACTGTATATCTCATCTAAATCGTTATCATAATCATCTAAAATATTTTCAGATTATTCCATTTATACTTAATTTCGACCACACTTTTATCGAATTCTAATTATTTTAACTATTTTCTATTGATTAACATTACGAAACTTGTCAGTTCGACGTTCAAATAATGCATAGTAAAACTTAAACCGACGATACATTTGGTTTATTTTCACTACTACTTAATTAGAACTTAAACTATTTGGGTTGTGATCAGAAAATCAAATGTGTTACTCAAGTGATTTTCATAGTTAAGGTTTACCCAAGATGAGTGGTGAAAACGGTAATCACAGCAGCAAAAAATACAACTCTAGCAAGATACGCAGTCACAGCTGCTACATCGTCCACAGAACCAGCAACAAGTCCGATGAAATCACAACAAGTTTTTTTACTTTTGTTTTTACTTTTTTAATCAAGAATATATCGTCGTTAATATCACGAAGTAACGTAACTCGAAAAAATTGAAAATTGAGATGTCACATATTATGTAAAAAAGTATGCTCTACAATTTCACGAACTTGCGTATCTCAATTCATTAAATTTATTAAAATAACACGTACCTAACCGGTGTATCTGATAATTTCACGGAGAGACGTAACTTTATAAAAAAAAAACTTTAAAACGCTCTCTTTTAAAGTTGTGAAAATCGAGTTACGTTACATCGTGATATTAACGACGATATCTTTAAAAAACTAAAAAATACCTTGAAAACTAAGTTCTACTATCATCTATACATCTATACATATAACAAATCCAGAAATTCTGAACGCCGAAGGACCTTAACCTCGAAGTTATGCGACACATTACACTACTATGTTTTGAATTACATAAAATCGAATTTTTTGTTGACTTGGATCCCCTGACATTTTATCGATGCGTCTCAATGGGCTTTTAGTTGTGAAAATCGTTTAATGAATAAATTAAATTTAAATTCAAGTTGTTGTATGAAGATCACGTCCTCATCTCAAGACATTCCGTAGCACGGCGTCTCTTTACGACCTCCATCTTTTTAAACAAATTGGCTGGCAACTAGCGAATGAAGAGCATTTTTTCCAATTTAAGGTTATACCATTTCTTACAGTCAACTGTAATGGTACGTAAGAGAGTGAGTTCTTATGATTAAGTTGGTTGTCATATTCAAGAATGTAAGAGAATTGAAGTAGCGGGACATAATATAAATAATGATGATGAAAATTGTGATATTAGTAACAGCTTTTTAATTTATTATTGTAAACAGAATGATAATTTAACATCGATTTTTATATGAGTATCGTATTATCAACTATGTTTCTTTGCAGATACCACACATAACGTAAACTCTACTTTGGCTTCTTGATCCTTACAATCCTCAGTTTGTTTTAATGTGTGTTTTCTAATTTGAGAAAAATAATCTACTTTGTACTCTTCTATTTCGTTTGGAGGAATGTTAGCAACCACAGGGTTGACAGAATAATATAAATCTAAAACAAATAAAAGTTTTTTATTTTAAACTTTTTAAAAAGGAATATTAATTAATAAATTAGAGATGTTCACATTGTCACAAACCCTAAATGACCTGTTTCTTTCTAAAAATGTCAAAACAGTGAGTACGAGCTACAATATGGGTAGAAATTACAAGGTGTTGACTTAAACGGACGATTTCTTTTAAAAAGCCTCAGAATAAAAAATCCTAGTATTTAGATCCAGAGATCTAGGAGGCTGTCATATGAAACGGCTTTTTCCAATCCATACTTCAAATAGAAAAAAAATATCAATGCGAGATAAGAATAGAATGTAACAAAAGAAATAAATACTGTATACGTATTAAATTAAGTTAGCTTCTAATCGATATTTTAACTTTGAGCTTTCTACTAAATATTCCAGTTTATGCAGTTTGGGAGGCAACTTAACACGATTAAAGTGTTTCTTTTAAGGAATTTATCGAGAAACTAGCATTTGGGGGTTAAGGTTATAATTAATTCGAAACTTACTTGATATCAGACAGCATTTATGTTTTCGACTACATAACTTTTCGGAAGTGGCAGGTACGATTCATATCTACACAAACAGTTATAAGACAAAGCAGAAATATACTCCAGATCTTTAAATCTAAACATAAAATGAGCAGTATCTAATAGTGCTCATAAACTGAGCTCAAGGAAATTCTCATAGCAGCGAAATAAATTACCAAGCAATATCACTGGAAGAAATATGTTCATCTATAGGCAAACAGGCACTACTTACCCTGAAAAGATCACTAATTTATTCAGGGCTAGTACAACAATGTCACTAAGCTTTGGTCAGAGTACTTATCAACAATGTGGCCACACCACATTAAAAATTGACCCTCTTATCAATTCACTAGCTAAAAGTCAACTATTTGGACCTGCCCATTCCAGTGGACTAATATTATCGCTCATGATAAACCCAATTAAAGAACATTCCCTTGGAAAATTCAAGAAAAGATGGGATGAAACAAAAAGCTTCAGAGTTGCCAGATAATTCTTAAGTGACCCTAAAAAGGTTCCTTGCGTTGATGGACATCCATTTTTGTTTAAGTAGTCTGACTTATCCACTATCGAAAGTCGAAATAAACGGGGTTTCTCCTCGGGTTTCTACCAAAAGAATGGAAGACGGACCTATTAATACCGAGCCATAAAAACTGAAGAGATAAATATGGTAAATATTATCATAATAGAGGCATTAGTAAACTATCTTCATTAAACAAAGTTCTTAAATAAATAAATAAATAACTGTCTGTTCGACGTACTTAAAAATTCAATACTATTAAACAACTTCTCTAAACAGTAGATCGAGACTAATTTGGCTATTCACTGTACCTATGCCGATTTTAGCAAACAGTTTTGAATAAATCAATTACAATTTGCTTTTAATGAATTGGGATACTTTTAAGCTTGCTCTCGTCCAATGTATATAATAGGACTCAGATCGTTGTTATTAATGATTATAGGCCCTGCATCATTCACAGTAACATCTGGGATATAATAGATTTCTCACTTAAACCCTTCACTGTTGTTTGATATTTATTAATTCTTTTTAATGCAAATATATTATTAAACGCCCACGATCTTACAATATTTTTAAATTTAATTTTAAAAGGAACTCGATCGTTTTTTCCGGTTTTGCAAGTCAAACAAATTGCAACTTAACAACAGTAAATGCGCTCATGCAGATTCTGCTTAATTCTTTATTGGTATAGGGTAAAAGTATAACGAGCGACAGAAAGAAGACTATTAATTTGAAGCGAGAATAAGAGAGAGAAAGCAGAATAAGATGTTGTCAATCCCACTATTCCTCGCGACGCCGACTGATCTCATCCGCTGACTCTAACTGAGACCCATAAACCAAATAAAATCAGTCAAAACTCTAGATTACATTGATTTCATACCGAGTGAAGGTAAAACAATAGATTCTGGATCTGGGTATTTATTTACCGAACGTTACTTATACCACCCGTAAAAAATTGCAAATAGTGAAGTACTATGTGTACTATGGGGGTCATTCGGTTCAAAATATTATAAGTGTTTCCTCAGGTTTACGTCGCTTAACGTACATTGAAAACTTAACTCACAAAGACGAAGATATAAGCTTAGTAGGCATTAATACATCTCTCATATACACCGATGCTATATACAGGTATTTGAAGATATAAAAACGGGCCTGAAACGGCGCTTGTCCCAAATTAACACATCAAACTGCCATCTAGGAAACTCGCCAGTCAATGTTGTAATGGTCTAGAGGTAGGGCATTTGTGTACAGAACAAACATGTCTGGGTTCAAATCTGCAAGTGTATTTGTTTTCATGTTTGGGGTTCGGGGATAAAGGACACCTATCTGGTGCGTGAGAACTTGAGACTCTTAATTTTACTCAAGATTGGGGTTCTTTAAAATTTAAGTAAATCCAAATACCGATTAAGTCAAAAATAAAACTTTAATGAAACAAAAGATAAAAATAACGTGGAACAAATTTCAGAAAACAAACGTGTTAAGCAATATAGCAAATGGGAATCAAAAAAAATTAGTTAATTCCAATAAAGTTTATACAAGGGTGTTTCGCGTAACCGTTAAACAGTCCGATTGGCGTACTTGATTTACCACTGCACAAAAAGTTAATTTCATAAATACCTTAATACTTTGGCACTAGGTGAAAACTATGGCAGATTAATTAGACTAAATGTTATTTAGTCTTGTCGATCTCTTGGCAACTCGGCTAGGATCATTTACTAACAATTAATAATGCAAAAAAAACACTTTTCACTGTTGACCACAAATTCAGGTTGAAAATTAACACAGAACAACCTGCGGGAAACGTGACAATCTTCCATCGAGGTAAAAAAAAACACTTCTGTCTTCTCTTCCGGACCGCAAATCCCATCTCGCCATTCCTGCGGCGGGGTGGGGAGGGGCCATCTCGTACTGTCTTCACATTCGTGAATTTCGTACTATCAACACATCCGCACAGGGGCAGCCCCTCACAGGGATGGTCTTAATAATTCGTAGGGGGATTTTTGAGATTTGTTCCCGAATTTTCAAATTATTTCTACAACGTATTTCAAATAATTCTGACCTTTCAGGTTTCGATTTGCGATCTACGATATATTAAATTCACAATTTTTAAATATATATGGAGCAACCAGTAGGATTCTAAGTTAAAGGGGAAGAAGCTAAAGTTTGCAAGTTAAAGAAAAGCTTGTATAGATTAAAGCAATGTGCACGAGCCTGGAATGAAACAATTCATGGAGTCTAGGTAAAAAATGGATTTAAACAAAGTTTGGAAAACAAATATCTATATAACAAAGTTGTGCCAGCGAATTCTTGAAATTAGTTGTTACTACTGCTCAAGCAAGTTAAGATATAGTTTAGTTACTATGACTAATAGAAGATAATAATAATAATAATAATAATAATATCGTCTTTATTATTTCAAATCAAAAGTTCACATATATATTCGGGCGAAGTTCATTTTTTGCATTCCTACGAATGCAAAAAATGTTCTTTCACTTAACCCTAAAAAAGGAAAAAAAAAAATATTTTAATTAATGAAATATTTAATATTTAACCGGCAGAGTATCTGTTAAGAGTGCAACAAACAAATTGGTCTGTAACTTTGATGTGTTATGTGGCTCTTAGATTTAACAAGTGTGTTTTATACATTATTTTCAGTTTTAAAACATTTAAATGCCTAAATTTTTGAGGGACAGAGTTATATATGTGAGCAACTTGATATACAAAGGAACGCCTAAACATCTCTGATTTGAATTTTGGCACCATAATCGTATTTTTATGTCTAATATTTAGATTATGTATGTCCGTGCGATACCGTATTTCCTTGTGAAGATATGATGGCTTTTTTGTAGTCATTATTTTATGGACAAGACACACAGTATGTTAAATGTGGACCATAAAGTATGCTTGCATAGTTAAAAAGAGAAAGAACAAGAGATTTTAGAGATGTGTTGCGATTTCGCTGTCAGCGATTTTGTCGCCGCTATTTTCCTGTCGCTGGAGCGAACCGCTCCGGTTCTTTCAAAATCACTGCGACTTTTTGGAGCTGGGTTTGATTTAGGCACGTTTTCATTAGGCCCTATTGCTAAAAATAAATGTCGCATCTCATATTTATCTGATGTGAACTGGAACTGCGATCGGAACGAAAACTATTATATTATATGCTTATAATCGCAGTCGCTAAAATTTTTATAAAACAAATAGGACATCTACAATAGGGCAGCGAAAAAAAACGACTATTTTTTTTGAGTCTTGTGGGAAAATATGTTAGAAGATCCCCTCCAAAAGGCAGTTAAAAAAAATTTTTATAGGTCGCTCAAGATTTTTATAAATTTTAAAATTAGCCAAAATTGGATTTTTTCAAATTTTTTTGCTCATGATGGTAGAATTTTGTGCCCTAAAAAGAAACAATCTCAAATTTTTAGCTCAAAATATCAAATTGAAATTAATTCTTGATATTAAAATTTAAAGGTCGCTCAAAAACATCAGAAGCAATAATTTTGTATATAAAAAAAATCTTGAGCGACCTCTAAAAAATATTTTTTGAGCTGCTCTTTGGAGACTCAAAAAAATAGTCTGTTTTTTGCGCCACCTTAATCTACAATCCTTAAAAATGTATCTGGGCGGCAATAAGTAATCGACCGTTTTTTAATCTTCAAACTTTATTTTATTAAAATAAAATTTATTATTATCTTTTTAAAAAAATATTGCACAAAAGAGCATAGATTGCCAAAAAAATTACGGTCATTAAAACTGCTTCGAAGAAAATGCAACGATTTAAAAAATAGCAGCTATTTCTTACGTGAGGACGTGACACAGGTCACAAGTCGCGATCTAGTTAATGATTTTAAGTGTAGAGTAAGCACGCTGTAACAGATAATTTACGTGTTTTTCAAATCTTAGCTCAGAGTCTACTAGTACACCTAAATTTTTGGCTTCATTTACAATTACTAATTGCTCATTCTGTATTCGTATGTTTGTATAATGTATTGCCCTCTCACGATATATTTTACTACCGAATAACATTAATTTTGACTTGGTGGGATTTATTATTAAACAATGATCTGTGGCCGCGTTCACAAATTTTTCTAAATCCGAATTGATACGGTTACATGCAACTTTAGTCATCTCATAAGGGAAACTATAATACAGCTGTGTGTCATCTGCGTATAAATGAGCTTTACAAAACTGTAGAGAGTTAAGTAGGTGGGAGGTATACATTGAGAACAACAGAGGACCAAGAATTGAGCCCTGTGGAACTCAAGTTCTAAGTTTTATAAATTCTGAGTCACAACCGTCGATGCTAACTCTCTGCTGACGATCTTTTAAATAATTATTCATTAGTAAAAGAGCATGAGGAGAGAAGCATATGTACTGTAAAACAGCTATCATTAAATCATGATTTAAAGTATCAAACGCACGACTGAAGTCTAAAAACACCAAGAGAGTACACTGAGTATCATCAGTAGCCTTTATAATATCATCGACAATGTGGAGAAGAGCAGTTGTACAACTATGTCCCTTTCGAAATCCAGATTGGATAGTAGGTAGTAAATCATGAGTTGAAAGGTAGTCTCTAATTTGAATATACATTACCCGCTCTAGGATCTTCGATAACGAAGGCAAAATGCTTATTCCTCTAAGTCTTTCATTTTCGAAGGGTTTCGTTTTTTGGTCAAAACATTTACAACTGCACTCCTCCACACAGTAGGAAATACATTCTCAGTGATACAAAAATTGACTATATGAGTAATATGTATGGCAGTATGTAGGGACAGCAAAGCTTAATAAGTTTAATATCTATTCCATCACAACCTTTAGCATTCGTTTTTATATCGCAAATGGTTTTAAAAGTAAAAAGATCATTAATTTCTTTAAATACGAAATCTGCATTTAGTCGCTTATTATTCTTATAAAAATTTAATATATTGACTAATGGCTGACTATCTGGAATAGATTCTACGAAAAAGTTATTTAGTTGCTGAGGATTTTTTAGATTTTGTGGTATATTATTACTTTTTTCAGGAATTAATTTGTTTGATTTAAGTGTTTTCCAAATTTCTTTTGTTGAGCTATTATTAAGTTGGTAAGTAAAGTAAGCTTTTTTCTCCCTTTTAATTGCTTGATTGGTTACATTACGCATTTGCCTGTAAAAATCCAGGTGTCGCTGACTTTTTGATTTTTTAAATTTCGCTATGGCCTTATCTCGCTCACCCATCATAATTCTTATTACATCTGTTATCCACGGAGCTTTAGGTTTTGTTATTCTTGATGTAACTGTAGGTATGTACCTATCGAATAAATTATTTAGAGAATTAACTAAATAGGAAACTTTTTCATCTATATTTTCTTGATCGAAAATTCTAAAAAAAGATGTATTGAATAAATCTCTTTGCCAAATATCTTGATCTACATTCTTAAAACTCCTATATGTACAATATTTAGGCACTTGTTGTTCATCGCGCATTCTTAATTTACAGTATATACCAAAGTGATCCGATATACCTGAATGAATAATTGAAATTCCTCTTAGTTTCGAATAAGTTTGGGACTTACTCCAGCTCCAGAATGAGCAGTCGAGTTGGGGTATTAGGATGAATCGCCTGATCACCCTTTATATGGACAATTTTGTTTTTTAAGTTGTTGAAGATACAATTTGTCAAGCTTAATTAATATTGAAATTATCAAATAGTTTTTGTTCTTTAATAAAAAATTTATTTTCGCCACTGCAAACCTCAACATTGGCAAATACCGGTCAACATAAAGGAGGCAATAATTGAATAAGCTAGACGAGGAAAATAGAGTTACTTTCACTTGAGTCCCATGACATATCGCGGTACAGGGTAACGAGATTGCAAATAGCCTCGCAAGGAAAGAGGCTCTAACACCCTTTATGGGACCTGAGCCGTTCTGCGGTATCAGCCTTAACACAATATTAGGAGAGATTAAAAAAGAATTGGGCAATAGAAGAACCAATATTGGAACAATCTCTTAAGGCTAATACAGGCTAAGATACGTCTGGGTAAATATAACCAGAAATGATCGGAAGCCTGTATCTGCCTGAGCAAGAACATATTACACATTGTAACATGCATTGCCGACTTAAAGGAAACCTTAGTAAACTGAGAGTAGTAGAAGATAGTGGGTGCAGATTTTGTGAGGAGGACGAAACCTCTATTCACATTCTGACTGAATTTGCAGCACTCCAGAATCCAAGGAGCATATCAAATAGAAGGGGGAGATTTACCTAATGTGGCCTCTAGTCTTCATAGTCGCAGTGTAATTCCTTATCCCCAACATAACATAAGGGAAGCACTTCTTAGCGACGTTGTTAACTAAATTAAGTCTGTGGGGTGACAAACTTAGTGTGGTTTTACCGATTTAGAAAGATGCCTAATAGATATAATGAGTAAAGCAAATGTTGTAAAGAAAATCCCCCTCTTGTCGTTACAGATACATACCTTTCCAAGCCTGTTCATTGGCAAATTTATAAGTAATATCCTCCTCTTTGAAACTGATATTCTTAAAACCAGCTTCTTTAACAGCATCTTCGAAAACTTCACTAGGATTTGAATTAGGCACAGTGGTCACCATCATTTCATGGCCATATTTTCCCCATTTTGGGTGTTTAGCTAACGCATCGAAAGCGTCCTCTACAGGTAAAACTTTAAAAAACACTTGGAAAGTTTCTCCTTGGGGTTTAAGCATTGTATATACGTTTTTAAAAGCTTGTCTGTAAAAAATATATAAAGAAATTATTACCAACCTATTTTTGTAACGAATAAAAAGATATATAGGGCAAACTATTAAATATTACGAAAACAAAATTAAATAAAAAATGGAATTCTTACCTGGCTACGTTCATTTTTAAAGTGTAAAAGCTGAAAACGTGATCAAATCTATTCTGGAACTGTTTTGGTAGATTTTTAGTGGCAATGTCCAGTTGAACAAACTCACTTCTAGACATGACTACGTGTTTTTTTGCATATTCCACCATGGGTTTCGATATATCGACCCCAATAAATTCGTTATAATCGGCCGGCAACAGTGGATGTAGAGACTTTTGGGAGTTGGTCCCGTCTGCGAAGCCAAATTCCAAAATTGACGGCTTATCTTTCCACTCTATCAAGTGCTGGGATTTCTTTAGAATAACACTAGTAGTTAATACTGTAAGGTTGTTGCTGTTGGAATATAATTTTGGTAAAACCATTGCGGTCGCCATTTTTTAGTACTGAAAATATAACAAGTTTTTCGAAATTGCAATTTCAGGGTAGAAATATTTCAAGTGTCCCATGAGCCTGGTTTATACTAATTATAATGCTAGGTGTTTAACTGGATTAAGGTAAGTATTTTTAATAGAAATAAAGAAGCAAATGTTTCACCAGTTTATAGATAAAAGGGTTAATGATGCAATTAACAAATTACCATATTTTGTAAAAGGTTTTTGGGTAACCCCAATATTTTTTTTAATGTAAAAATAAAATATGTTGTCAATAATAAAATAAACCATACTAAAAAGTCCAAATCTCGTGCTATTACTAATAATTGGAAAATTTTAACTCCGTTTAAGTTAATAAAACCACTACAGGGTGAGCCAGCCAGAGCTGGGTAGTACTACAAATTAGTACTCGTGAGTGCTTTAGACCTGATCGGACTCAGTACTCGAAAAATTTCAATTACTTTACGTTTTAGAGTACTCAGTACTTCTGATTCCTACATCTGATGAATAACGATTACGAGTACCGACGCGCGCACATGCCCAAGCAAACTTTATGCTTGTATTGTGCATTCTATTTTAAAGAACTACACTGTCACTACTTACTATTATTATTTTACATTTTATGTCATACCAGACAGATTCTACAATGCATCATAGGTGTAGTATGTGTTGCGATTACAAAGGGTTATTTGGTAAGTTAGTGTTTTGTGTTGACTGTCCAAAAATGTAAATACTATGAATTCATTTATATGCGTTAATTGAATTTTGGGTTATACAAAGTTACAATTATTATTTACATTATCGTAAATGCAAATACATATTGTTACGCAGCACCCTGCAGTAGCCTGCGACTATTATAGGAAACGTACAGATAGAAAAAGAAATGGAATGTTACTTATCGCCCTACAGTGTTCTGTGGTCGTCATAAGTAAAAGTACAAGTAAAAGAAGATAGAATAGTCCAGAAATCTCTCTAAATGTCATTCCTTGTCAAAGAAAAGTCCAGATTGTTCAAGAAGGTTCTAAAAGAATTCGTAGCCAATCTTCGATAAGCAACAGAGAAACTGGAAACCCTACCTCATCTTCATCCATAACCGAACCAAGCAACATTCGAATCCCAGTTTCACAAAACTATACTAGCAAGACCCTTAAGCCACCCACGTTTGACGGTCAGACAACATGGGAAACATATTGACTCCAATTTGAAGCTTCAGTTAGAGCCAATGGCTGGACCGAGAAAGAGATGGCGGCTTCATTGATAGTGTCAATGCGAGGTCAGGCAGCAACCGTTTTACAGTTACTTCCTCAAGAGGAACCCAGTTACACATCTCTCGTCCAAGCTTTGGAGACAATATATGGCCAGCAGCATTTGTAACGGATATTTCAAAGCCAGCTAAAAATTCGTAGTCAGAAACATAATGAGAGTTTACAGGAATTCGGGGGCCGACATAAGAAGATTGATTCATCTGGCCTATCCACAGGCGTCCAAAGATTTCCAAGAACATATCGGAATAGAGGCATTCATTGATGGATTACAAGATGCGGAAATGCAGCAAGTCCTACGTCTACAACATCACAAGACGTTGAGGGAGAAACTGATTGCAGCCCAGGAATATGAAGCGGTAAAACTCTTATCCAGATCTTCTCGCGTAAAAGTAAGGAAAATTAAATCCCAGGAAAGTGAGGAGGCCAATACTAATGCTATTCCTCAATTCTTAAATATCTTACGAAATAGGCAACGTAACAGCTAAAATGGAAGCAGGAGATGCTTTATTTAATTGAGGAAGAATTTGGCATCTTCAAAGAACCTGTAGAAGCATGACTCATTCTATAAATCGAGAATCAGCGAATGAGACCGGAAAATCATATAGATCAATCTTTCCAAGCCCATCCACTAAGACCAACAAGAATTAATTACAGCAGCTATGCGTCCCGAAGAAGCCAATCACCTACCCTGAGCTGGATTTCTACCAATAACCAGAAAGTAAAGCATCGAAGAGGCCACCATAGAAACGCAGACATTCTCTTTGGGCAACCCCGTTTAGAGGAATAATGCTGGTATGGTAAAAGGCTCGAAGAACGAGAAGAACCGGTTGATAAAGTTACTCTTAGGGCAACCACTATCAAGCCAGAGGGCGACGTAGAAGAAATCACCCTTGAAAGTCTAGGACAGGGACAGAAGAAAGATAATGACTTACAGGTTGTCCGAGAATGGCTCAAAAATAAAGTCACACCTACTTGGCAAGAGATAGCCAAATACAGTAGAACTATTAAAGGCTACTGGACCCAGTGGGATTCCCTGTATCTTCACGATGGCCTATTGCACCGGAAGTGGGAGAGCCCAGATGGAGTACATGTAGTCCGCCAAGTGATACTGCCGAGGTCACAGGTGAGAAATGTATTGGAAGAGCTTCATAGCAGCTGTTCATGAGGATACTTTGGTACTAAAAGGACACTGGCACGAGTTCGGGAAATATTTTATTGAGTCAATTGCCGACGGGATGTAGTGGATTGGTGTAAAAAATGTGATGTATGCAATGGCAGGACAAAGATCTATGGATTCGTTCGGGAACGACTGAAAGCCCACACCAATAAAGCAGAAGCTAGAATCGATAGGCGTGCCACAGATACACATTTTGAGAGGGGCGACAAGGTATGGCTGTGCAATCCCAAGCAGCGAGGAAGACTTCGTCAGAAATCGCAACGGAACTGGGAAGGACCCTACTCTGTCCTTAAGGAAAATCAACGACCTGATATGTTGCATTCAACTGTCAGCGGAAGTAAATCCAACGTAGTTCACATTGAAAAGATAGCTCCATACTATGGTCCGGATCCACCCCATTAGTTCCAACTAGGTCTTAGTAATTAAGTTATTCGAGACGAACAAATAGAAAGGAGGGAGCAATGTTACGCAGCACCCTGCAGTAGCCTGCAGCTATTATAGCAAACGTACAGATAGAAAAAGAAATGGAATGTAACTTATCGCCCTACAGTGTGCTGTGGTCGTCTAAGTAAAAGTACAAGTAGAAGAAGATAGAATAGTCCAGAAATCTCTCTAAATGTCATTCCTTGTCAAAGAAAAGTCCGGATTGTTCAAGAAGGTTCTAGAAGGTTGGGGCAAGCTATATAAGTCGACGATCTGACGTCAGAGTTCAGTTTTATGATAAACGTTACACGTTAAAGTTATAGTTGCATTGACATTGTAAAAGTTCAGTTGAAATAAATTGTGATGCCAAAAACCAGGGTAACAATATATACGCAGTTTTGCATAACGTACTGGAGAAACTTAAATAGCATAATTTCTAAGTTCATTTCAAGTCAAAAAACGTCTCATGAACAAATATTCAATTCTCCATGGCTACGGAGCTACAAAATTCATAAATGTACACTATGTCGCCATATTCTTAATCCAAAAACACCACTGGCTTGTAAATTTACATTTACTACAAACATAAAACGTAGTTGACAAGGGTAGGACTGACTAATAAACTGACGTTTATAATAAAATTGTTGATACACAAAAAACCAAACTTTTAGAATATATGGCATGCTACATTATTATCGTTTAATCTTTGAACGCTTGTAGCTCGTTAACCATGGAGAATTATATATTTGTACATAGTACATCTTTTGCTTAAAGGGAGCTATGGAATATATTTAAGTTTGTACAGTATTTACACGGCATGAGAAACAATCGGCAGGCTAACTTGTCTTGGCGGCAACCTACGCGCACATCTAAGCGCACACCGCTATTTCGGGGTCCAACCTCTCAATCAAGCCAGTGGCGTCACTGTCGTCGTTTATATCGATAAAAACAAACAAGTTACAGCAGCTCGGAATCAGTAGCGTGTCTTAAATTGATTTTGTTTGTGATCTTAGATTTTGTGATTGTGATGTGTGTATTATGTAGTTATCGCTATTTTTTTAGAATTATAGATATTTTTGACACTTTTTATATAGTAGTTGTTTTTCAGTGATAATTTGTTAACTTTTACGTGTTTTACTATGTCTGGGCAAAGTTGTGCAGCAAAAATTTATATGAACAAACGAATAAACTGTATTAAAAGTTTTTTTCGGTTTCCTTAAGATTCTATAATAATAATAGCCGTCCCTCTCCCCGCATAAGATCAGCTTTTGGGGTTAAAATTCACTCGTAAGGGGGTGAATTAGGAAGAGTATTATTAACTCTTGTTTTATTTCGCACGATTAAAGAAAAATTTTGTTTGTTTTATGTTAATTAAAATAGTTGTTTATTCGTAAAATGCATAATATTATGTTTATTGCTGTAACAAATAAAGATTCCTCTAAAATTATATAACATAAAATTTTACATTTTTATTTGCAATTTTTAACGCTCATGAGATGAATATTAAAAAAATGTAAACATAAACAAGCATATCAATGAATGGCATGCAAAAAATATTAATATTTTTTAAATTTTTTTTATTATATATGCGGATTTTTAATAAAAACGTCTTAAAATTCACAGTTGCGACGTATGTACCCAATATTTAAAAATGTCAAATAATAGTTTTGTATGTTTAATAACAAAAATTGAAAAATATTTCAACAAAATTTTGAATTATTTATCACTAAATCCGGCGTTTGTAATTTTTTTTAGATTTAATTAATTCCGAGATAACATCTGACGCTCCTTGTCCCCATTTTCCAGAAATATATGTTATTAAGTTAGATTTATATCGATAAAAACAAACAAGTTACAGCAGCTCGGAATCAGTAGCGTGTCTTAAATTGATTTTGTTTGTGATCTTAGATTTTGTGATTGTGATGTGTGTATTATGTAGTTATCGCTATTTTTTTAGAATTATAGATATTTTTGACACTTTTTATATAGTAGTTGTTTTCCAGTGATAATTTGTTAACTTTAACGTGTTTTACTATGTCTGGGCAAAGTTGTGCAGCAAAAATTTATATGAACAAACGAATAAACTGTATTAAAAGTTTTTTTCGGTTTCCTAAAGATTCTATAATAATAATAATAATAATAATAATAGCCGTCCCTCTCCCCGCATAAGATCAGCTTTTGGGGTTAAAATTCACTCGTAAGGGGGTGAATTAGGAAGAGTATTATTAACTCTTGTTTTATTTCACACGATTAAAGAAAAATTTTGTTTGTTTTATGTTAATTAAAATAGTTGTTTATTCGAAAAATGCATAATATTATGTTTATTGCTGTAACAAATAAATATTCTTCTAAAATTATATAACATAAAATTTTACATTTTTATTTGCAATTTTTAACGCTCATGAGATGAATATTAAAAAAATGTAAACATAAACAAGCATATCAATGAATGGCATGCACAAAATATTAATATTTTTTAAATTTTTTTTATTATATATGCGGATTTTTAATAAAAACGTCTTAAAATTCACAGTTGCGACGTATGTACCCAATATTTAAATATGTCAAATAATAGTTTTGTATGTTTAATAACAAAAATTGAAAAATATTTCAACAAAATTTTGAATTATTTATCACTAAATCAGGCGTTTGTAATTTTTTTTAGATTTAATTAATTCCGAGATAACATCTGACGCTCCTTGTCCCCATTTTCCAGAAATATATGTTATTAAGTTAAATTTAAGGCTACGCATATATTACACTTTAAAAAATATTAATAGAAATTTTAAGACCATCAATAAAAACTAGCTAATTATTTGGCGCAATCTGTAGAGCTTATTGTCTTTCTTAATGCTGTTCTTATAAGTTAAATTAAAATATATTTAATGTAAATTTTTACTTTTTTGTTTTATTACGACTCTGCCTATCAGTACCTTATTTTATTACAAAATGTTTAAATACGTTTTAATCCGGCACTGACTAAGACCCCCGAATGGCGTCGCCAAGGTCAAATTTTCTTAGTATAATATTTGTATGCGATCAGCGGCAAGTGAGCCTGCCGATTGTTTTTTATGCCGTGGTATTCATTTAAATTAGAATGAACCAGCGAATAATTCAAGAATAAAAGGCATTTTTATAATATTTTTTAGGAGGCTAATGGCCGTAGTAGTTGACGCCGATGACACCAAATTTAAAAAAATATATATTTTTTAGGTTACAAAATTGGACAAACTAAATGTCAAAAACTGAAGACGATCCATATACAACTCGTTTTTGTTTAATACTTACTGAATTACCAGTTTCTATAAATCTAATCTTGAGTCATTAACAAACATTATTTAAAATAGTCATACTCATATTATTCATATCAGTTCTCACACTCAGATACTTATAAGTACTTTATGAAGCTACTTATTGTGAAGTACTTTAATGTAGCTCACTGATACTGTTGATTTAGACCTTATTAAATCTCAAATTTTGAAGGATACATTTCTTTATATGTAAATGTTTTTAAAAGAATATTTATTTAAAAGATTTAAAAGCGAATATTTCGCAAAACTGGTAAACGTTAGTCAAAGGTTAACTCAGTCTCTAAAGGTGACGTAGTGTTGGTCAGAAATGATATTACGAAAAAAAACTTGGTTATTGAGTGGACTAGTTGAGGTTTACCAAGGAAACGACAACATAAATCGAGTGGCCAGAGTAAAAACTGCCACTTATTACACGATCTCTACAACGTCTACATTCAATGTATATGCCATAACAAGTATTAGAAATTAAAAATTAAAAAAAAACCGACTTCAAAAACGTGCAGATGCCATCACCACATCTTAACCAAATTTATATGGGACCACCCCTGAGATACCCCCTTACTAACAAAAAAAGAATCATATAAATCGGACAAGGTGGTAAAGCATTATCGCTAAACATACATAAAAAATGAAGAGTTTAAAGATTTTCTCATAAACCCAATTATTAGATTTTGACTAAATTTATATGGGACCACCCCTGAAGTACCCCCTTTTTAACAAAAAAAGAATCATTGAAATCGGACACCGTGTTAAAGAATAAACGCTGAACATACATAAAAAAAAATCTCGCGACGAATTGATAACCTCCTCCTTTTGTGAAGTCGGTTAAAAAGAAAAAGAGAGTAGTAGAGCAAGCAACGAAAAGAGAAATGAAAGAAAAAGTAAGAGAAGAAGTAATTATTCTAATGAAGATCTCGGTATGGAGGAATTCTAAAACAACCAAATAGAATATTGAAAATATATTGTTTTGTTAATGTTGTAATTATCAAATAATCTTGTTTTGTAAAACGTTTTTGTGTAACATCAGTAAGGATTTTTTAATGTACGAACAAAATATATCATTAAATTATATACGTGTATAATACAAAGTGAAAATTTTGTTCTACTACTAACAATAGTCCAAAACTGAAGATGTATTGCTAAATATAATAAATAGTAGGTAAGTTGTTATTGAAATATTGAAATTTTGCAAATCATTAAAATTATTATCACAGAAGATTTTAACTCGTCCTTAACTGTTAATCTTTGGATGCGTTCCCAGATGTACCTACCACAGTATAGATACAGATTGTTTCAAAAGATAAGTCATTAGTTTTAATATGAATTTATTTGGATAGAGGTAAACCAGAAATAATAACTCCTTAAATTTTTCCTGTTTTTTGTCTTCTAGAAAATTCGGCCTGTTCCTAGATAAAGCAGCCTCATATCCATGTTATTCCCGGTACACTAATTACATAAATATCAACTAATTCGTTATTGGGTAGTGTAGATAAAAATTAATCAATTGCTTTTATTAAAAACATGGAGCTTATTTTCGAACAAACAAAAGTTTTAGCTAGAATTGGGAAATACGTATTATTTGATAAAACTTCTAAGAATATTTGGTAAGGACCAGAACTTTTATTTATTAAAAAACACTATTTATTCCTCACTTTTAAGTAAAAGAAATTACTTATTTTTATACCTTCACAATACTAATTGGCATATATACGCTTGTAAACACGTAAGTCGTATTCACAAATAAAGTTTTTCAATTGAAATAATAAACGTTTAAAATTACCGCGAAACAAATAAATCCCTTTTAATTACTTTTTGATAGATTAAAAATCCCATCGATTACTGTATATAGTAAAATTACTTAATAACACTTTTTTAGAAAATTACTTGAATTACGTGAATTTTTTGTTTCATGAAATTCTATACCCTATTAAAAAAAAGACTTAACTTACGAAACATCCTGTATATCAAACAGAAAATAATTTTATTAACCATACTGTTAGAAAATGTCTACAGATTTTGTAGTTGTCACTAGATGAAGCACTAGTCACGAATTTAGAAAGATATAGGAAGATAAAAATAAAACTTTGAATTACCTATGTAAAATTGTACTTGTTGTTTTTTTGCTCAATAAAATTTAGGTTAGGAGCTGTTATTTATCAAATGAGCATATTTATAAAATAGAAGGACAATTAGCTGATAACTAAAAACATAAGTACCTAAATTTATCAAAAAAAAATAATTGTTTGTCATAAAGTAGATATTGTTGTAAACACGCTTTTAAAGATCTTTAAGTACACAGAAATTAATTTCAAAGTCTAAGGTACATCAAAAATGTTCTTATTAACATCAGAAAATAATTATACTAAAAACGAATTTAAAAAATATATATTGACATAAAAAGGGTAGATAACAAGTATATTAATAAACAGACGACAATTTCTACAAAAATCTTTTGCCTCTTGGCCATCGCCGTGTCATTAACATATATGTTCTATAAATATATCTGCTCTTACAAACTCTCCTCCACTATCCTTTACCTACAACTATACAGACATGCGCCTATACGTCTATACGCCTATATACTTACCTATACACATTTACACCTATATACAATACACCTATACAACCTATGCACCAAGCAAAATGTCCTTGCGACTTTTTAAAGCTTAAAATCTCCTTTTTACGGAATATGGCCTGTTTTACTCTTTGAAAGGGACCTGGTTTGTACACAAATAAGGCTTGTTTTTTTTTGAATTTTAGTAGAAGGATGAGGACCATTTGCATACCGGGATCTTAGCATCATGGTCCTTTATTATTTTACAAAAAGGTGGCAACCCTCACATATACACCTATACATCCATACACCCATACACCTATACACCTATACACCTATACACCTATACACCTATACACCTATACACCTATACACATATACACCTATACACCTATACACCTATACACCTATACACCTATACACCTATACACCTATACACCTATACACCTATACACCTATACACCTATACACCTATACACCTATACACCTATACACCTATACACCTATACACCTATACACCTATACACCTATACACCTATACACCTATACACCTATACACCTATACACCTATACACCTATACACCTATACACCTATACACCTATACACCTATACACCTATACACCTATACACCTATACACCTATACACCTATACACCTATACACCTATACACCTATACACCTATACACCTATACACCTATACACCTATACACCTATACACCTATACACCTATACACCTATACACCTATACACCTATACACCTATACACCTATACACCTATACACCTATACACCTATACACCTATACACCTATACACCTATACACCTATACACCTATACACCTATACACCTATACACCTATACACCTATACACCTATACACCTATACACCTATACACCTATACACCTATACACCTATACACCTATACACCTATACACCTATACACCTATACACCTATACACCTATACACCTATACACCTATACACCTATACACCTATACACCTATACACCTATACACCTATACACCTATACACCTATACACCTATACACCTATACACCTATACACCTATACACCTATACACCTATACACCTATAATAATAATAATAATAATAATAATAAATTGTTTATTACAAAATAAAGTTATAAAATTACAAAGAAAAAATAGATTAAATTTATGAACTCAAGTAATAAACAAGGTAATCCATTTAGGCCCATCAGGCCTGTCTATGGTATAGTCGTTTATTAAAATAATTTTTATAATTTAATCTTAGCAATATTTCTTAACACATGTAAAAAATGTAAACAAAAAGAGTACTGTTAAAAAACATATTAAAAGGTAAGTACATTTATAGCTTAAAAACTAATCTAATATAGTAAAAAGTAAGAAACGTAAGAAAAGTAAGAAAGTAAAAAAAAGTAAAAAAAAGTAAAAATAGTAAAAATAGTAAAAATAGTAAAAATAGTAAAAATAGTAAAAATAGTAAAAACAGTAAAAACAGTAAAAAAAAAGACAAATAGATAAACATTTGTTGAGAGAGAGAGAGAGAGAGTGTTGATTCTATATTTTTAATAAATAAATTTTTCTTTTTTTTTTTTTTATTCTATTATATCATCAAAATTTTCATGAAGGATCAATTGTTTTAACTTGTGTTTTACTCTTCTAAAGTCTTTAATCTGTCTCAGCTCTTGCGGTAGCTTATTATATAATCTTGGTATAACATAAGTGTGACATCTTTGACCTAAGACTTTATTCACTCTAGGTAAGTAAACATTATTTGCTAGATTTGATCTTGTCAAATAATTGTGATCAATTATTGTGGATGTAACAATATTATGTTTTATTGCAAAAGTCAGAGATGTTTTGACAAATAATCTTCTTATATCTAAAATTTGCATATCGTGAAATAATTGGTTAGAACTAAACCGTTGTGGTTTAAAAGACATTATTTTTAAAAATTTTTTTTGAACTATCTCTATAGGTTTCATAAATTTTTTTCTTAAACCACCCCAACCAATTATTCCATAATTTAGCAATGATTCTACAAGAGCAAAATAAATTATCTTCATTTTATCTAAGGTAAGTATATGGCGGCATTGATAAAATTTGTAAATTAACGAACGCATTTTCTTTTTCAGACTATACACCTATACACCTATACACCTATACACCTATACACCTATACACCTATACACCTATACACCTATACACATATACACCTATACACCTATACACCTATACACCTATACACCTATACACCTATACACATTTACACCTATACACCTATACACCTAAACCTAATGTAAACGAGGTTTAGGGGTGTATAGTTTATAGTACATTTTATTAAACCTGAAATACGTCACCAAGAGCTCTTCGTGTGGTATATTACTTATGGATAGTTAATATTTTTAATAAGTAACAGAGTTTTACTTGTTTTTACCCCTAGCGTCCGTAAATAGTACTATATTATTTGTTAATTTGCTAAAATACCTCATGTGTTACATCTTTACGATTACCCTTAGTCTCATTTAACTATTTTAAACATAATATAGCGTATTATTTGTAAATATTACTCCCAGAGATACTGGATTATGGTTATTAGTTGGGGAATCTATTAGTAATGTACTAAGTGATTTAGTTGATATTAATTTGTTAAATTTTGAAGTGGTAACGAAGTTGGCCCCCCATGTCAACACGATAAATTATTTATAATTATTAAACTTTGGGTATATATTGAACTTTACTTTTTATTTATCCCACTTGCTAATTGGCTGTTTGATTTTATAAACATCTGGTTAAGCACTTATTTTTATGATAAAGAACATAACTTTTTCTACGACTCACCCCCTTCTTCACTGTTGTTAGTCGGCATCCAACATTGGATTAATATAAATCCCACCTCGGTGCTTAGGCACAAAAAGTAAGTAGCACCATGCAAACGTTAAAAATAATAATTTATATTTGATAACTTAAATTGTGTAAATTAATGTTGAAAATATCGAACTGGTGGTGTAATGAACTATATTTGTAATAAATAAGCGAAGTGTGAATCCGATAAAGAGATCCTGATGAAAGCCCACATTTTATTCGGTAAGTTATTTCATTTGTAGCGGTCTCCTAAAGGCCATATTTGTTTATCTAAATATAAACAAAACCGAACTTGGTAATTTGTATGAATACGCGAGGCAAGCGTGAATGTGCGTTCAGATGTGGACGACTAAGCGTAGCGTGGCGAACAAGCGAACAAGCGTGGCCACAAGCGTGGCGAACAAGTACCACATCCGAATGCTCATACGGCCCGAATGCTCAGATGTGTACGCACCTTTACAAATAGCAAATATAAAAACTAGTTTTTATTATAAACTGCTTACTATTTCTTGCCAATTTATTCTTTTCAAACTTTACAACTGTTTTAATTTTCTTATTCGGAATTTCTTTATTAGGATTTGATTTATTTATTGCATATTTGTTTAGAAGTTTAGAAGTACGACATATCAAATAAGAGATATCGGTAAGGAAAACATTTGTTTTTATTATGACTTCTCTTAATAATTATCTGTCCGTTCCGAGTTTATCATAGTAAATGTAACAATACACAGGTTGTTTTTTGTTGAAAACCTTTTGTATTAATTGGAAATTCTTTTGCTAATGGATTCTTACAAAAATTCTGCCTTCTAGCTTGCATGAGAAATGCCTTCTACCTATTACTTTCTTCTTATATTGATTTTATATTGTACTAAGTAATTAAAACGGTTGTAATGTTTAGAATTTTTAAATATTAATAAAATATTTTTGAATTATAGCTCCTCGTAAAAAATTAATTAAAAAAAAAATACATTTTGTATTTTGGACCGACGCGTAAAGGATGCCCTACCCTGTATGTATTACAAATGGCTTTATATTAAAAAAGGCTTTATATTTGTTATAATGTAACTATACTAAATTTAAATGTATGTCACTTTTTCGCTGAAAAGATTTGTATTTTCAAAAAGCATCTTTTCCCACACATTTAAAAGAAACTCCTGTATCTCGTTATTATAGAGGATGATAACAAAAGTTATTTATAAACATTGTACGTAACTTTATGCTGCTGACTTTGTTCATCTATACAGAGTGATTCGTACTTCTACATGTTGTCTTTCATATTTATTAGTGAAATGTAATAATCTGGCCTCGGCAGTAACGAGAGCAGTTTCCATCGGGAATATTGTCGTGTTTGAATTCATTTTATTATTTTTCCACTTAACTTTATTAACTTTAACATTTATAGTTATTTGTTCTCTTTTTTTATATGAACTTTGTAGAAAGGACCCGTCACTAACCAAAATTGTCTATGGGCCCAACTCAATCCTATGACTAGTTTTTGATATAGTTGACATTTACCCAAATTTTCGGAATGTATACTTTCAAACTTACGAGCTAGATTGAATTTCTGTTGCATACACACGTTTACTATATGTTTTAGTAATACATTAGTACATACTTACAATAATGACGGTAGTTTTTTGTTAAAATTTGACTAATTTTGGCGACAAAATATTCCACAATACACATTTCTTTTACAGGTTTATGTAGAAAGAACAACAACATTTAATTATTTTTTTAAGGAT